TAAAGGGAAGAGATCAACCAAAGGACTTGTATGCATGCATATAAGCCAAACCAATGGACACAGACACCGGGGTGGGGGTGGGGGAGCATGATGAGTGTGTGGGGGGAGCCCATGGGGGATAAGGACACATATGTAATACCTTAATCAATAAAGAGAAACAAACAAAACAAAACGTAAAAATAAGAGCCCTGAGGATCCACACGTCTTGGATCACTTCTTATGTCTCAAAGTCAGAAATAGAAATAATGATGTGGGTCCTATAAATGGTACATGGAATGATTGAAATACAAGGAAGAGTATTGGTTTGATACTTTCATGGGAAGTAATATCCGATATTTTCGGGATTGGTTTTATACCAACGGCATCTCTTTCCACCTGCTTGTTACCCAGCACACATTTCTGTTTGGTGGCAGTACCCATCCTGCTCACCCTAAACACATGGGAAGTATTAACCTCACGTGTGATGTTGGTAAGTTAGTGAAAGATGCATATAGAACAGCCAAGAGGCTGTGTACACTGTGTTATCTGGTAGATCCAGACCGGAAGTTGAAGAGTTCAGTGCCAAAACTCCAGACCAAGGTATTCAGGAAGTTTATGTGCTCTCACATGCTATTCCAGAACTCAGAACAACAGTAGGATTCTCTGATGAGTTACAGGAAAGAGGGCTATGTGGCTGTTAAAACCCATGTGACTTTGGGGAAAGAAGACATATCCATTAGATAAGTGACCAAGGTGATTGTGTCCCACCCTGAAAAAATAGCACCACGCTTATTCCAATGCTTGAATGTTTATTTCTCTATACTAGTTGGACATTTTATGAAGCTAAAGTAATCAAGATATCGTGGTATTGGTAAAAGATAGAGAGTTCAGAAATAGCAAGTTAATGGAGACAAATAACTTGAACAACAATGGTGTTGGAATAATTACATATCCATATTTTGCCTCCCTCTCTCCCTCCCCATGAACCTCAGTTTGTGTCAGGTACAAAAATTAACTCAAGTTGAGTCACCAACTTAAATACCAAACTCAGAGCCATAAACTTGAGTTAGGCAAAGATTTCTTAGCTATAATGCCAAAAAATGCAATCCATAAATTAAAATCTGATAAATTAGACTCAATCAAAATTAAAATCCCTGATATTCAAGAGACAGTCTTAAGAGATGAAAAAAGACAAGTCATACACTGGCAGAAAATATATGCAAATCATATATCTGACAAGGGACTTGTATATAGAATATATAACAAGAAAGATTTAAGTAGATAATTCACCAAATGGCAAATAAGCACAAAAGCTAGCACTTAATAGCAGATTCCATAGTAAAATAACATATTATATATTATAGCCTATAGCATTTTAAGATTAATGATTCAGTTTCAGTAAAATTAATTGGTGCACAAATTCCTCAATACTTTAATTTTCAAGTTCTAGAAAGGAATAATATAAATGTTATACATGTCAGAACAATCTATAAAAAAATAGTCAGAAAAAATACAGAAACCTCAATTAAATTTGAATTTCAGGTTAAACACAAATAATTTTTAGTATGACCTATATTTAGGTCATACATTTAGGTCATACATGGGATAGCAAACAATTTTGTAATATAATAAATACTTTTATTTGCTAAACTTGGCAATCCAGACCCATGACTATAATAATTAATTCAGATCACTCTTACCTTTACTTTTTGTAATGTTTTCTCTGGGAATATCAATCAACCAGTAAATTTGATCACTGAACTGAATTAAAAAAGACATCAGAAAACAGTTTTTTACAATGTTAATAACAACACTTACTTTGGCATATTACACTCTATCTTTTTTTTAAAATATACTTCTTTGATTTTTTACAGAGAGGAAGGGAGAGGGATAGAGAATTAGAAACATTGATGAGAGAGAAACATCAGCTGCTTCCTGCACACTCCCTACTGGGTATGTGCCTGCAGTCAAGGTACATGCCCTTGACGGGAATCAATCCTGGGACCCTTGAGTCCACAGGCCTACGCTCTATCCACTGAGCCAAACCGGTTAGGCCTATACTCTATCTTTTAAAAACAAAAATAAAACAAAAACATCCAATGCATATACCCTTTAACCAGTAATTTTATTCTTAGAAATGTATACTACATTAAACTGACCACTAAAAAACTGTTAGAATTCATAAATGAATTCAGCGAGGTTGCAGTATACAAGATCAATATACAAGAATTAATTTTATTTCTATACATTTGCAAATAACAACCTGAAAATGAGATTAAGAAAGCTATTTCCTTTACAATAGTATAAAAAAAGAATAAAATATTAGGAATATATTTAAAAAAAAACTACACCACTTAGATTCTGAAAAATACAAAACATTGTTGCAAGAAATGAAAAAAGAAACTAAATAAAAAGATATCCCATATTCATGGTTTAGAAGACTTAATATTATTAAAGTGGCAATACCCCCCAAATTGATCTACAGGTTGAACACACTCACTATCAGAATTTCCACTGACTTCCTTGCAAAAATTGACAAGCTCATATTAAAATTCAGATGAAAACTAGTGAAATTCTATGGAAACTAGCAAAAACCATCTTGAAAAAGAAGAACAAAGTTGTAGGACTCATTCTTCTGAGTTCGAAACTTACTACAAAGCAATAGCATCAAGGCATCATGGTGCTGGCTTAGGAACAGATGTATAGGCCCTGGCTGGTGTGGCTCAGTTGGTTGAGTATCATCCCATGCACCAGAATGTCTCTGGTTCTATTCCCAGTCAGGGCACTTGCCAGGGTTGTGGGCTTGATCCCCAGTAGGGAAGATGCAAGAGGCAGCCAATTGATGTTTTTTTCTCTCTCTTTTTTAGTTCAATAAGAACGTTAAAAAAAAGAATCAATATATCCCCAGTGGGGGTGGGGAGGGCATGCAAGAGGCAATCAATCAATGTTTCTGTCTCTCTCTCTAAAAAATTCATATATATATATCAATGTATAGAGCAGCGATACAGTATAATTGAGAATCCAGAAATAAAACCTCATATTTACAGTCAAGTGATTTTCAACAAAGGTGCCAAAACAATTCAGTAGAAAAAGAACAATAATATATATTTTTTAAATATATTTTATTGGTTTTTCACAGAGAGGAAGGGAGAGAGATAGAGAGTTAGAAACATCGATGAGAGAGAAACATCGATCAGCTGCCTCCTGCACATCTCCCACTGGGGATGTGCCCGCAACCCAGGTACATGCCCTTGACCGGAATCGACCCTGGGACCCTTCAGTCCGCAGGCCGACGCTCTATCCACTGAGCCAAACCGGTTTTGGCGAACAATAATATTTTTTAAAAAGGGTGCTAGGGCCGTTGGTTCTGCACATGTGAAAAGATGATGTGGGCCCTGACCTCACACCACACACAAAAATGAACTCAAAATGGATCCATAATGTAAAAGGTAAAATCAGAAACTTTTACGAGAAAACACAGAGGTTGCATAATCAATGAATATACTCAAAACCATTTAATGGTACATTTTAAGGAGGTGAATTTCTGTATGGAAATTATGTCTTAATGAAGCGTTCCTAAGGAGGTGAAATAAAAACATACTCAATGGAAAAAATCCCAGGGAATTGTTGCCAGCAGACTGTATTGTAAGAAATGCTAAAAGAAGTTCTTTTAAATCCTCTCCTGAGGATATTTCCCCCATTGATTTTTAGAAAGAATGAAAGGGGGAGGGGGGAGAAGGGGAGAGAGAGAGAGAGAGAGAGAGAGAGAGAGAGAGAGAGAGAGAGAGAGAGGTGAGAGACACACATTGATTGAAAGATCGCTGTGAGACAGACATATTGATTGGTTGCCTCCCACACGCACCCTGACCAGGCCAGGTAAGGAACCTGAAACCCTGCTACATGCTTTTCAGTAGGAATCAAACCTGCGACCCTCCAGTACACAGACTAACACTCTAACCATTGAGCCATGCTGGCCAAGGCTAAAATAAATTCTTCAAGATAAAAGGATATGACACCAGAGGGCAACTTATATCTACAGAAAAGAATGAAGAGCAGTGCAAATAGCAAATATGTAGGTAAATAGCAAACAACCATGTATAGTTTTTCTTTTCTTCTCTTAATTTCTTTTAAAAAATATGACTGTTTAAAGCAAAAAGTATAACATTTTTGAATTTTAAAATATATAGATGTAATATTACTGGACTAGCTATTTTTTTTAAAAAAAAAAAAAAACCACACACATCCTGTTAAGAAGCGTATGCTTCTTGTTAATTCTATTAAACAGAACAAGGTAAAATGTAATTACCAGCTTTAAATTAAAGTGGAAGATGCCAGCATAGGTACTATTTATGATTTTCAAGCTGGGAACAACTCCTCCTGATGTGAACATGTTTAGAAAGTCCTTTGAAGTCAAGTTACTGTCAGATTTGAAAATACACTGGATTCTCTTTAGGAAAGAGGAAAAACAAACAAGTAATGACAATTCAATGAAGAAAAGCGCATTACATTAATTTAAAAGTGAGAAAAAAATCTATGAAAAGTAGATGCTGCTAAAGTCTGCTATCTCTAGTCATTCTAGTCTCTTGGAAGGGAGTCTATTTTGAAAAATTCACTTTCAGAACTCAGTAACCTATTATGCTAGCATCACAATAAATGTTATTAATCCTTATAATAATCTCTGTCATAGAAATGGCCATAAAAATTATTACACTTAATAAACATAGACTCAAAGCCATATACTATCACATGTAGAAATCCCTATTTTAGTAAAATCATTATTTTGTGTCGAAATAAAAAAGAAACAAAAATAAATAAATAAATAAAAATAAAAAAAAGAAACAAATGTATAAAGCAAAACTCATTTTACTGCATTTGATTGGGTATTTCCCAGTTTTAAGAAGGTATGTAAAAGTGTAGCAATCACAAATGCTGATGGATACTAAGAGTTTTAATTCATTTATTTCTTCCCATAGTTTGGATACGTTACCTAGCTAAGTGGGGAGACATATTCATTCTAAAAAGATTTAATGAGCTCTTTCTACAAATTAGGCAGCGATACAGTGCCGGGAAAACAGAAGTGTACAAAAATCAAACATCCTTGCCCTCGTGGAACTTACAATGTAATGGGGATTGGTCGGAAGAAAAACCCACACTCCTTTTCCTTTGTTTTCTCACACTCCACAATTTATTGCCCTTTGTTGAGATGGTATATGCGTAAGCCCCAATTCTAACCACCCCTTTGAATTGCATATCATTGGGTTTTCCCATGATTAAAAACACTGCGTGTATAAAGAAAATCTTTTTTTCTCTCCTGTTAAGCTCTCTTTCATCAGTTTATTTTACAGGCTCCGGACAGTAAACCCAAGTAGCTTCAGTACTACTCTGCAGTTCTTATCTTACAGACGATTAAATGTCACCATGAACACAAAACACTTTGAAAAATGCCTGACACACCAAGTAGTTTATACATGTTAGTTATTATTTCTACTAACACCACTGCTAGATCTACTACATCATAACCACCTAAGCAGCAGGTTATAATTCCCCTTTAAAGAGGACAAAACTGAGCATCAGAGAGTTTAAGTGACCTGCCCCATGGCATACAGACCATACATGAAAGGAACAAGATTTGACCCAGGGTTGGCCGTTCTTCTCTTCCTCTAAAGCCCCTCTTTTCCCATCTATAATAATAAAAGTGTGATATGCTAATTAGACTGGACAGCCGAACGACCTTCCGGATGACCTTCTGGACGAAGCCGGGGCTGTGAGGGCCAAGGCAAGCAGCTGCAGCTGCGAGGGCCGAGCCGCTTGCATGAATTTCGTGCATTGGGCCTCTAGTCCTACACAATGATAGCCTAAGCAACCATTACCAAGGAATAACCAGAATGACCGGTCACTTTGATGTGCACTGGCCACCAGGGGGCAGATGCTCAATGCAGGAACTGCCCCCTGGTGGTCAGTGCGCGCCCACAGTGGGAGTGCTTCTCAGCTGACCCACCCATCCCGGCAGCCCACCAGCCTAGCAGGGAGCCACTCACTCCCTCAGTAGTCCTGCAGGTCCAATCTCTGGAGAACGAGCCAGGCACCGACAGACCAGCCTCCCCTCCCTAGATGCTCCACAAGAAAGAAACAATATAAAAGCAGCCGCCAGGTGGCTCCTGACAACTGACGTGAACATCAGCAGGATGGATCTGGATCCTGGGCTGGCAAGGGTGTCCCGCTGCTTGCCTGGAGGGCCAATCACATCCTGGCTCCTCCCCCAACCCTCCCCTCCCCCCCACCTTCAGGATGTGCCAGACACAGGGCTCATGGCTGGTGAGTGCCGCTGCAGTGGTGCCAGCCTCTCCCATTAGGGATTGATTGGGTGTGAGCCCGTGGCAGGTGCAATGGGGCCGGGATGAGCAGGAGTGGCAGGCGGCATTAGACTACCAGTTTCGGCTCAATCCCCGCAGAGACCCCACCTATGCACGAATTCGTGCACTGGGCGTCGGGTATATACTAGTATATAAAAGGCTAATATGCAAAGTGTCCCCTCGGGAGTTCAACCAGGAGACCAGGAGTTCGATCACTCGCTATGACATGTGCTGACCACCAGGGGGTGGCACGGAATGAAGGAAGGCCCCACAGGCAGCCAGCAGCCAGGGAAGGAAGGCCCCGGCCAGCAGCAGGAAGGCCATGATCAACCCTGATTGCCGGCCAGACCTAGGAACCTTATCCATGCACAAATTTCATGCACTGGGCCTCTAGTAATATATAATCACAAATAGGAAAGGCATTTTTTGACTCAAAGGGCATGAGGTTCACAATGATTATCAATAAAAATTAAAAACCCTAATATATGTTTGGCATATGAAGAAGAAACTAGGAACTAAGTCAAAGCAGACTTTGGGCTACATATATTTGCCCTTGTGGGTGTTTTTCTTTGTTTTTATTACATTTATCATAGATTTTTAAGCAATCTGTGCATTATTTATTAGCTTACGTTTTTGGTAGCATTTGCTACATGACTACCTTAATAGTATATTTTATTTTATTTTGATGTGTGTATATGGGTTTTAAATCTGCCATTATTTAAATCAAAGGGATTAAATAATCTCTTATCCAAAACAACTGCAAGGTGGCACTTATTATATAAAAAGGAAAGATTCTTCCTCAAGGTCAGTGAGATACTTTTCTTTGTCTACCAGGTTACATCTATCAAACTTCAAAAGTATAAATCTCATCCACAAAAAAAATGAAGATTATAGCTGATCTTTTAAAGAAGTGAAGAAGGAGGCATCTTTAAAGAAAACAAAATTGCCCAGGGCACTCAATGGCTAAATAAAATATTTTATCTAATCCAAGCAGAATGGAATAGAAAGTATTACTGAGAGGGTAAACTTGAAAAGCAGGCAGACAGGGCAGGGGTCCAGTGGGAAACAAAGGCAGGTGGAACATAGGCAGGGGCAGACATGGCAGTTTGATCCAGCCTGGCCACAGGCACCAACCAAGCAGAAATAATAAAATCTTCCGGACTCAAAGCAGTGAAGCATAGCAATCCCTCCTTTGGAAAACTGCTGTTTGAACTACTTTGATATTCATAGCCTCTTATTCTGTAGGTCAACTCTGTTATTTTCCGATAGTCCCTTATTCTGTAAAATAACTGTTTCGGTTTGAATAATAGAAAAAGATAAAAACTTAGCGGTCTGACCTTGCAAGCTAGCCATCTGAATGCTGATACTGACAGTAATTCCCATATTCTTATGCCAAGTGTTGGTTCATTATGTATTCAAGGTTACATACTATCTGCAACAATAACCTACGCAGAGCTCTTTGTAAAATCTGCAGACAAAGGGCTCAAAAAGGTATAAATAGAGAGAACTTCCCCTATTTGCTTGCTCAGAGATTTGGGAAACACCTCCCTGTGGACCCAGTCGAATAAAGACTCCTAATTAATTGGCTCATTAAGGCGTCTGGTATCTATTTGAGCTGATTTACAATACAACAGCAGGAGGCGTGGGAAAACAAGGGAGGGCCTGCAGCAGCAAGGCGTAGGAACGTACAGGGACAGAGAAAGAACACAGAGAAACAGGGAAAGTTAGGTCCGCTGCTGGACAAAACAACTGAGGGAATCATCAGGTGATGACACAGATAGATACAGAGCAGGCTCGGAGCAAATGTCTACCCCCGGACTACAGGCTTTAACGGGCCGCCCATTACCGAGTGCCCCTCCCCTTGCGAGGTGTCCACTTTTGCTTACATCTTCTGGTCCGAGGAGCTCATCCTTCCACGTCGTGAGACACGACCCCGGGGGAAAGCACCTCGGCTCCCTGTTCCGGTCATCATTATTATTTATATAGGATTTTACCTCCCTGAGTCTGAACCCAGTGGAAGGTGATTGGACTGGCTTTGCACATGGAGCTAAAAGGAAGGTGAGAGGTCACAGCGTGCTATCAGTGGACCTTACCACGTCATCTGAAGTAAGATACAACCTGAGTATTTCATTCTTTGTGGAGACTCCCTGGTTGACACAATCAAAGTGTTTCATGACATCACCTGAACAATACAAAAATATATATATCTTGGGTTACTGGTAGAATAATGTCCATTAGAAATCATACTTTTACACTGACAAAATATTTTTAAAAGAATGACAGTTGTAATTGTGTGCTTTGCATTCATATACCTCTAGATAAAATTCTAAATCTTCTACCACTTTTCCTTTTAGAGATACAAAATCAGGATAGGAAGAAGGAAGGTTGGACTGAACACTAAAATAAACGATATCATCTACGAGGACGGTGCGGGTCTTTCAGAGATGGTCAAAAAACTGTGTTTGACTCTTAAGCTTCTCAACTTTGCGAGCATATGAAAGGGAGAGGATTTGGAGATTGGGAAAGAAATTGTTGTAATAGAGAGCTATGAATGTGAAGGTGACTCCTCTCGCAAAAAGGGGGGTGGGAGGGGGCGTGGAAGAGCCCTTTTCCTTATCTGGATGGAAAGGAAATTTCTTATACACAACGAAGTTGGATCACGTGTGTTTTATTGTTTATTTGCTTTTGTTAACCCTCACCCGAGGTTATACTTTTCCCCCACTGACTTTTAGAAAGGGTGGAAGGGAGGGAGAGCCGAGGGGAAGCGAGAAGGAGAGAGAAACATTAATGATCTGGGAGCCAAACCTGTGACCCTACGGTGGGCAGGCTGACGCTCTAACCACTGAACAACACCAACAAGGACAGATCCGGTGTGTTTTTATCCATCCTGCCTATCTCTCTCTTTTGATTGAAGAGTTTAATCTACTTACATTTGAAGTAATTACTAATTAAGAGCGACTTCTGTCATTTTGCTGTTAATTTTCTATATGCCTTATAACATTTTACCCTTATTGCCTGTATTACTATCTTTTTTTTTAGAGAGAGTTGATTTTTTTATAGTTAAACATTTAAATTCCTTTCTAATTTCCTTTGTATATGCTCTTTATCTATTTTGTTTGTGGTTTCCATGGGATTACATTTAACATCCTAAAGGTAAACATTCTAATTTAAATTTTTAAAAGCGTATTAATTTATTAAATCATGTAAAAAAGTATGTTACAAAAATACTAGCTTTTATAATTTCCCATTTATTTACCTTTATTGAGATCTTTATTTCTCCACACGGGTTCAATTTACTGTTTAGTGTCCTTACATTTCGCCCTATAGGACACTCTTGAGAATTTCTTGCAGGGCAAATTTAGGGTAACAAACTCCCTCAGTTTTTGTTTATCTGAGAATGTCTTGCTGGGGTCTAACCCCAGCAGGTCCAGGGGTCCCCAAAGGTGTGGATGGAGTCGGCGAAGAAGGAATGACACAGAGGCAGCGTTCAGGTGATCATCATAGCCGGGTTCTCTTGTCAGGGTCTCCAGCCAGGTTCTGTAGCCAGTTCTCCAGCCAAGTTCTGTCTAGGATCTCCAGCTAGGTTCTCCAGCCAGGTTCGGTCACCAGGTTCTGTAGCCGGGTTCTTCAGCCAGGTTCTGTCTAGGTTCTCTAGTCAAGTTCTGCCCAGGTTCTGTCCAGGATCTTTTGCCATGTTCTCTCCAGCGAAGTCTTAGTTAAGAGGTTTTATTCCCTCCCTAACTTCAGGGGAAAATCCCTACGTGGGGAAACAACCTTTTTCGGAGAGGTGACCTTGGTTAAAACACAGCGCCAAGAAGGTGAGCAAACATATTAAGAACAGTATGCCATATATGCCAGGTCCCTTGAAACAGCAAGGATGGACTGGCTCCCGGCAATATCTCATTTTTCTCTCTCATTCTTGAAGGGCAGTTTCCCCAGGTATAAAACTCTTCATTGACAGGTTTTCTCTTTTAGCATTTTGAATATTTTGGTCCACTGACTTCTGGCCTCTCAAGTTTCTAATGAGAAATCTCCTATTATCTTATTGAGAATCCTTAGTATTTAATTATTTTCTCTCTCTTGCTGTTTTCAAGATTCTCTGTCTTTGGTAGGACTCTGGGAATTCATCTTACTTGGAGTTGGTTGAGTTCCCTGAATGTTTATGTTCATGCCTTTCATAAAATTTGGGACATTTTCAGCAGTTTTCTTTAAAT